TAATATTCAAACATTTTGTCTTCTTGATAAAAGTAATAAAACAGATATTTTGCGTATATTTCCACCTTTCTTTTAAAAATGTACCATACATTCATTAAAATACTTTTTCTTTTCACTACTACTCTTCTTTCCCATATTGCACTTTTCATTATTTCCAGCAGGTTTATAATTTTTTTTATTCTTACACTGTTTATCGAGCCCCAGCATCACAACCCTACTCCATTGAATATCCTAATTTTGTTCTCCCATCAAATCCTGAATCATTTTTCTAAATTTTTCATTAAAACCATCCAAATCTTTACACTGTAAAAACAAATGTAAAAAACCTTCATCATCATTATAACATACTTTACACATTGCACTTTGTTCCATTCCAATTTTATTTAATAAAACATCTGTAAAAATCACTTTGTGTCTGATAAAATACTCCAGATTACTTAATTTTGTTTGTATAATTTTCCCTTTCATATTTCCCCATATACACTCCTCTTTCAACCCACTGAACTTCTGTAACCAATATTGATTAAAAACAGGTTTTTTAAAAACAATATCTCTAAAAAAGCAATAAAACCTTTTCACACCACATTCTTTGAAAGCATACACATTTTCACATATATCACATCCGTGTTCGGTTTCTTCCATATTTTCAATTCGTTTTATCCATTCTTCAGGTATTGCTTTCTTAATTAAATCATATTTGTTTATTAATTCCTGTCTGGTAAAGTCCTCCTTTGCCTCTTCCATGACATCCACAATGTATTGTATTGGTAAAATCCCTTCTTTAAACTCATATAAAAACTCCCTTACTTTTGTTATCCCTACATCCCACGATTTCTTATAAAATATTCTCTTCCCTTGGTTTCCCTTAAAATTAAAGTGCCCAGTTCCCCCAAATCTCATGTATACCGTTTTATCCTTTTTATCCTCACCCATACCTTGCATTACTTAATACCATGTTCCATAAATTCACTTTACTATCCTTTTTATTCATACTTATCCCAAACAAGAACAGCTTTCTCCATTCCTCCCCTGTCACATCTTTCCCCGTTCCTTTTTTCACTAGCACTTTTATTGCAGCATGAAACGCCTCCAACTCTTTACATTAAAAAAAAATGTACATCAATGTTTCTGGCTCTGTCCCACATACATCGCATTCTCGATTGACATTTCTGTTCATTTGATGAATCACCACCTTTGTATATATTCTGTTATGCCTTAATTTAAAGTCCATGTTTTCACAGTCCAGTCCATTGTATTTCACATTTAAGTTCCTCCAAATCATCTTTACATTTATTCCAGGAAATACTCTTGGCCAAACCGCCTCAGATGCAGGTGTTTTTATTTCCCTTTTCACCATCATCTCGTAAATTGTTTTCACATTTAACTGATGCAAAAAAAAC